CTGATGATTATCGCTATTCGGGAAGATAATCTTTGTGGTTTTGCTTCACCACTGTTGCAGTAATCTGTCAGCTCAGTTGCAGAATTTGAGTACGAGGTAGGTTCGGTTCTGGGTTCTCTGGTTTACAAACAAATCAAAACATACTAAACTACTACGAAACGAGTAAACGTAGGTTAACAAAAGTAGACGAGAAATGAGTAGTCCTATACTCAACTGTAGCAAATGCTACAGTGTGGAGTGTTTGTTGGTGTAACTAAGGCCATCCAATATATATCGTAGTCACAACACCCATAAAAAGTCTGGGCTCTCCTAGCAGTCATTTGGCCGGCAAGCTAGACAGCGTCGGCCGGCTTAGTGGGAGTTATGGGAGTTATGTCCCTTCGCCACACTCAAAACAAGTCGCGGAAAGAGTCACGAATCAAATGACATACTTACCTATCATCATCCGGGTGCATGTAGGGTTGCGTCTTGGGTTACCTATCATCATACGGTTGCGCGTAGGGCTGTGTAGGGTGTCTATCATCATCATACGGTTGCATGTAGGGCTGCGTAGGGTGTATATCATCATCATACGGTTGCGTGTAGGGTTCCTTAGGGTTTGGGTTAGCGGTAGGGTTAGGGGTTTGGGTTAGGGGTAGGGTTAGGGTTAGGGTTAGGGTTAGCGGTAGGGTTAGGGGTTGGGTGTAGGGTTAGGGTTAAATGTGAAAATTTTCACGTAAGAGGTCGAAATACTGGCCGACAATCTGATGTTTGTGGGAGTGGCGCCACTGGAAGTGTGGCAAATATGACGGCAATAGCGCGCGGCTGGTGCCCAATCGGTGGCGAATTGTCTGTGTCAGTAGCATCCACCGTCCGTCGACTGTTTGCGCGTGCATGCGACTGTGCGCGATTATAGGGAACTACGGCGTCACAATTGTCACATCTAACGCTACACCTAACCCTACCCTTAACCCTAACCCCTAACCCTACCCCTACCCCTAACCCTAAACCCTAACCCTACCCCTAACCCTAACCCTACCCCTAACCCTAACCCTACCTCTAACCCTAACCCTAACGCTACCCCTAACCCTAACCGTAACCCTAACGCTACCCCTAATCCTAACCCTAACCCTACCCCTAACCCAAACCCTAATCCTACCGCTAACCCTAACCCAACCCCTAACCACGCAAATTTATCGGTCATTAAAGCTTACAGATCGGCAAAACACCCACAGACAGACACACAGAAAAAAAAAACCCAGATTTTCCCGCAGCGTCAAAAGAAAAACCCAGATCTGGGGGACACAACCAAGCATTTGCAGCCCTGATGTCGACCTCACTGTCGTGTTTAAGTCGTGACTTTTTCCGCTCGTTGTTGTGAGTGCAGCCAAGGGAAAGAACTCCCACTACGCCGACCGAAGCCGACCTACCTGCCGGCCAAATCTGCTAGGAGAGCCAAAGTCTGAGCTGCAAGTAGCTCGCATTGATTCTTCTTATCAGTTAAGTTATCTGGCAACTTTTCCTTCCTTATACTTATATATCTCACATATTCTTTTAAAACAGTTCTTGAATATACAGCTGAGCACATGCACACAACAGCAGTTAATATCACACAAGATCGTCCCTTAGAAATATATCGTTAGGGAGTCGTACAACAAGAATAATGAGAGGTAAAAGACATGGGTGACGCAATAGTGTAGTGTATGTACACAAATGAAAGATTTGGCTGGAGGTTTCAGCTACACTATAGAAGGCAGTGGTCTCTCTGGTCTTCAGCCTTTTTTATCCAGGCTCCCCTTGAGTATAGGGAAAGCCCCCCCCCCCCCCCCCCTCCTTTTTCAGCTTAACAAAATGAGGAGGAATTTGTGGATCTAGTTTTTTTTTCCCCCCACAATGAGACCCTGTAACCCACACAGGGAACTATTATTATTCCTAACAAGAAAGGACCCTTTTCCATGCCTTTAGGCATATAGGGCTAGACCTATGTTTTTATAGATCAATCGGCACAAGAAGGGTGATGTGGTCATCATCACGCCAGCCGCCTTTACTTCCCTAGACTGCACCTGGTACCCACTCGAGGCTGGATCGACCTGGGAGCCAAGGTCATTTTTGAAAACAGTCCAGCTCTGCCATGGAGTGAACCCCATGACCTTCCGATCTGCAGACGAGCGTCTAGCCAATCCGCCATAGCGACTCCCATTCCTAACATTAGGAATTTAATGATGGGAATAAACAGTACTTTGTACAAATTATTGCCTGGCATATTTCTGGTTTGTGAATATTATTATTAAAATGACCCGTATAACTACTGTAACTTGCAGTTGTTGAAATATTTGAACAAAAAATACTGGTAGGTATTTTGTTATTTCACCCCCCCCCCCCCCCCCCCCCCCCCCCCCCCTTTTTCCTCTCCCACACACACACATACATAAAACTGTATTCATTGAAGCTTTCTGGATGAAATCTAGTGATATCTTGTGCAAGCTGTTGCATTAATTATATGTAGAAATACTAATTTTAGTGAATTAAACAACCCAGTGAAATTGTTGACTTAAATGTTATTGTAGACCATCATTCAAATCAAAACATTCAAAGTATTGAAGACATACATGATAGCAAGCACTGCTGGGTAATATTGTAGATAACAATGTCTGATTTACTGATTTTAGAATCAACTTCATAGCACATCAGGCATCCCTATTTACTGATTGGTTCTGATTTACTGATTTATGCATAGACATCATAGCATCTCGGGCATACCCATAGATGATGCTCTGTTCCCCACAGAACGTGTCTAAACTCTTTGAGTCCCAGAGGGTTTAGCATCACAGGCCCAAGGAGTAGCAAAGAGAGACATAAAATTGGCGCATCTTGTGTTCATTGGGCTTCTAGGTAGGAACCTATGAACGTACAATGCGTTCCTTGGGACTCAAAGAGTTGAAGTATAGATGCAAACTGTTACTTAAGAACTGAAAGAGTCAAAGAACAGGTAATGAAAAAGTAAAGGCCCCTCATAGAAAGCAAAACTGATTTTGAGAATAATAACTGGCTTGTAAGTCTTTTTCTTTGCGTTCACCAGCTGTAAACTCTGGTGGAAAGTTCTGGGTATTCGTCCACCTCAGGACTTTAGTCTTGTTCTAGAACTTGAGTGTTGTGTGTGCATCCATTTACAAATCTGCCTCATTTATATGCAGACTGTTGGTTCCTTGCCTCTCAGGCAGATGCACTCCGAGTTCAAAGGAAGCTTCCCGTTTGTCGACACTTTGAACATGCTTTTGGGTAGGCAATAGGTCTGTTTTTGTTTTCCCCACATTAGGGCCCTGGAACCCTCACAGGAATGGCTTGTAAGTGTCTCCTAGTACCATCTCACTGATTACCTGCTTGAAGGAGTTGTACATAATCAGTAAAGGAACCTAGGAAACCCTATGCATAGATTTACTTTTGAAGTGGGGTGAAAAGATCAAGTTGTGTGACCTTTTTTTCATAACTTAAGAATCTGCTAAAGTAGAACTTTATTAGAATATTTACAAAATATTTCTTTTTTGATAATGTGTAAATCACTAGCTATTATTTTCGTGGAAAACATATTAACTCTTTGAGTCCCAGGGAGTTTAGCATCAGAGGCCCAAGGAGTAGTCAAGAGAGATGTAAAATCAGCCCATCTAGCGTTCATTGGGCCTCTAGGCGGGAACCTATGTAAGTCTGATGCGTTCCTTGGGACTCAAAGAGTTAAAGCTATATAGCTCTGAAACAAAAAAAAACAAAACAAAAAACTGCTTTAAATAAAATTGAACTGTTCATTCCAAGAATACAAAATTGCTAATAGGTTAATAATTCTGCAAAACAAAATGCTGATAATCATCATCATCATGTTGTACCATTATATGTCACCTAGGGCTCGCAGTTTATTCTTCAATTTCTTTATTTCCAGTGCAATAGTTTTAATATCATGAATAATAAACATGGGGAAGCACAGATGGATCATGCATGGTTTGAAGAGAATGGTACTGTGAGGAGTGACCAGGGATCTGGTCAACAATCAGCACTCAGGGGAAAGATGAGACGGATATACAATCAGACGGCTATTGGTACCATTGGAATTGGAACTCTAGGCTTGCTGCTGAAGATGGGGACAGAGCGCTTATGGAAATGTCACGAGTGTTGTGATGACGATTCCTAATGAAACATTAAACATTATGACTGGTGTGGAAACATTATGTAAAAAGTAAGACGACACATTAAACAATGACTGGGACTCAAGAGACAGTCATACGTCATGCATTCCTTGGGACTGACAGAGTTTAGAAACCATTACATATCAGCATTTACTTCTCAGCATCTTTTGTATTGTCAGATCAACTAATCAGGCAATGGAATCAGGTTAATCAACTTATGGAACAAGGTTGACCCCGTAACTGTACTGGTCAGAATGATGATCTGCCACTGCTGAAAATTGAATTCAGGTCACTGTCTTCGTAAGAAACTACCGCGACTGTTTTCTAATGAGTAGTATGAAATCCACAATTTCTCCACTTGTAGCTTTAAATTTTTTGAGTCCCGGGTGGTTTAGCATCACAGGCCCAATGGGTAGTAAAGAGAGACTAAAATCGGCGCATCATGCGTTCACTGGGCTTCTAGGTATGAACCTATGAATGCATGATGGGACTCAGAGAGTTAACCTGTGCAGAAATACTTCCTGCTTGTTTGAGTAAGTACGGTCAAGGACTCTTTCCATGCCAGTAGGGCATTAAGCATGTGATGCCAGACTTATATTTTTATAGATCAGTTGGCCCTCGATGAGTGATGTGGTCCACATAATGCAGGTTGCCTTTACTTCCCAGGTCTTTACCTGGAACCTGTTTAAGGTTGGATTGATTTGCGAGCCAGTATCATTTTAAAAAATCCTACTCAGTTCAGATTTGAACCCACATTCTTCTGGCAAGCAGGCAGAGCATCTACATTCATGTTTACATCAGTCATTTTGTTTTCATTGTTCAGGTGTCTTAGTACACAGCAGCAAGATGCTGAGGTCGCCCTGTGCTGATATCCGTGCATGTTTGCGGTCTGTGTCTTTGGTGACAAACATACTTTCAAGACCAGCACGTCTTTGCCAAGGTTGGTTTGCATCATTGTTGTCATCGTTGTTGGTACTTTTCCATATTTCAGACGGCAGTGTTATATTGTACTGTAGAGAGGTGCAGGACTCACAGCTCTTGCTGATGGTAAGTGTGACTAGTAAGACCCATTGGTGTTCTGAAAAGTCTCTGACATTTGCTGACATTCAGAGCAGTGTTCTTCTACCACTCCACCATGAAAAGCTCCAGGTGGGCCGTAAAAAAAAATTATGCCTTATAAAACAGTTTAGCCAGAGTCTGTGGCTTAGGTGGAGTCTGTGGCTTAAGCGTTGCAAGTCCGACTCATAATTGCAACTTACCTTGATTAAAACCGACTGCTGGCTGCCTGGATTTTTATCATGGTATGGGGCATCACAGGTCGACCCAGCCTAAAATGGGTACCAGGATGGCTGTCCCGGGGAAGAAAAGACGGCCATCGTAATGCTGACCTCATTACCCACCTAGTGCCGATGGTCTGTAAAAAGGTAGAGGGATTGGCAGAAAACTCAGACAAATACTTGTACGAATAAACTTGACTGTGTAGACCACGAGGCAGACCAAGAAGATGGTGGAGAGATTGTATACAGGCAGACTTAACAAGTGATTGGAGTCCAATCAGAGAGATGAATAGAGGTGGGTATATATCTTGAGCAGTGAGCCACAAATGCTCGAAATGCTAAATAAGAAGATGACGAGACAGAATAAGAAGATTGTGGAGAGATAATATATATGCTAACACTTAAAGTCACCAACTGGAATGAGAAGTCCAGTCAGAGAGGTGAATAGATATAAGTGATATCTTCAGCAATGAACCTCAAAGGTGCAGATGCTGAAGAAGAAGAAACTGAGCAGTTTATTGTCTTTGTTATTTAAATGTGTTATGCTTTTAATGTTAAATAAATCCAACTCAAACTTATGACTTTTCTTTCAGAATGTCAGCGACGCTTTATATCTGTCAAGAAAAGACCCAGCTGGTACATTTTGAATCTGACAACTTCAAAAGCTGGAGAGTCCTTGTTGCCGAACAATACATCCTTTCTCTTGCACTTATGGAAGAACCAGAACGTCCAGGGGTATTCCTGTGTGAGTAGGTGCTGTTTCTCTGCAACTCTGAACAAAACTAGCAACAAAAATGCCACCCCTGCCAGTGAAAGTATATCTAAGACAGAATCAGTCACAGCTGAACCACCTGAGCCTTCAGGTAGGCGACTGCAGGAACCAGTGTCAGAATCAGCTTCTGCTAGTGCAGCGGCAAGCAGTGGAACAGATGCTGATGCTGCTGAGAAAAAGAAAAATAAATTACTCCGAGGTAACATTTCATAGTTTTTTGTGGTTAATGACGAATAAGAAATGTCTTCTTTCTTCTGCAGTTACCCTTCAAAAGGTGACTGGTATGTTGTGTTGTGGTTTACAGCTAGACTGCAATATCTGCACTTTCATCTCAATACATCCTAATTTAGCAATAGTTGCCTTTTACAATAGCTTGTTAAAGAATCAGTGGATATATTCTTTTTTTTTTCCTCTCCATAAAATGTTCTATAATATACTGGGCTTTGTTGTTGTAGCTGTAGTTTTTTTTTACAGGGTGGGGCAGAAAACCCAAATTTTTTGGAGTGGCCATTTGCTAGTTTTTGTTTCCTAATTCTTTAATTTCATCACATTAAAAAAATATTTTTGCACAACGGCCAGTCCACTCAGAATCTTTAGGGCTCCATGTTACACTGGTTGAGAACCGCTGGTGTGGAATATATAAAGGCCTAAAACTTTACACACCACCAGCAGTGTCAGCTGTGGGACTACCCTGGGCTTTTTTTCTTCCAGGCGGCAGGCAATGGTGCATAGTACCAGCACCTTGTTTTTAGGCATTTTTGATTCTCGCACTTCTGTAATAGAAACTTTGTGGTGAGAACTGGTACTTTTTAAAGACACTGTGGTGAGCACCGGCATCTTGTTTTGTAGAAAATAGGGTTCACAGCACGGCCTGTCCTATGTTGCGGGGGTGTCATGCTTACTGAGCATCCAGCAACATGTGGTCTTTTACTCATTGTTCTAAGCAACTGGAGATATCGCAAGGCCCCAAAACATGTGGAACTGGGCCCTAACACCAGCCCCCAAACTACACAGACTTAGCCTACGTCCCATGACTGCATGGGACCTATAATATACGCTAATATCGTCGGCCGCTGACAGCGAGTAAAAAACTACATCCTGCTGGACGCTCACTAAGCGATACACCCCCGCAACATAGGATGGACCCTGTGACACGATGAAGTAGGCATGTGAAGGGAAGTCACTCTCTTTCTGGGGTGGAAAACGTAAAAAAGAACAGAAAAAAGCCCTGGGGCTACCTTTACTTTTCAGTTAACGGTATATTTTCTGCACAACCCCAAGAATAAATACATATATATAAACTATATTTTCTGCACACAGTCTCACTCACACACACACATATTATCCGGCATATTTTCTGCACAGTTACTTAAGCACACACACATATATATATATATATATATATATATATATATATATATATATATATATATATATATATATATATATATATATATATATATATATCATCATCAGGTACCTTGCCAACTGGCGTAGGCGATCATGCTTCTCCATAATCTGCGATCTCCTGCAGCATGTATCAGTTCGTGTGCCGACACACCTCCATGCCATGCAACAAGACTGTCAAGCATCTTCTCTCTTTGTCTTCCTCTATCCCTTTTTCCACAGATCTTTCCAGTGGTCACTACATGTTCTATTTTTCCTCTTCTCATAACATGGCCGAAAAATGATGACTGTCTCCTTCTGATGTCTGTGATAAGTTGTCTTCGGGCTCCCGCCTTTTCATAACCTCTTGGTTGCTTTTTTGGCTGTCCAAGGTATTCTAAGCATTCTTCTGTAAAACCACATCTCTGAGGCCTCTAAAAATTGTTTGGCCTGCCTACCGATTATCCAGGATTCACAGCCATATGTTAAAACTGGATGTATGTAGCAAGCAAGAATTCTTTTCCTAACTCTCAATGACAAGGATATATTGCACAAGATGTTTTTAATTTTAAAAAATGCAGTTTTTGCCTGTCCTATTCTGTTTCTTATCTCAGTTATGTATCTTCCATCTGATGTTATCCATGTGCCCAGATACTTAAATTTCTGTACTTGTCCTAAAATAACACCATCAACTTTTATTACACATTTAGGAATAATTCATTTCTTTGATACCACCATATATGTATATATGGTATATATTTCTCTGTACACAGTCACCCTAAAAATATATATTAATGATGTTTTCTGCACACGGTCACACCAAGAATATATATTAATATAATTTTTATACACAGGCACCCCTAGAATATTTGTATATATTATTTTCTCGCCCCATTATGGGACGTAATTTTTTGTTATTTTAATTAAAGCCCCATCGGAGCTGTCGTCAGAGGGGCCCTGATATAAGTTAACAGTTGAAAGGGGTTTCTAGGACTTGCTGCTGGGAGATTCTCATCCGAATGGTGGCATTTTGTGTCACAGGTGTTAATCGCTCATTGTGCGGTCCTGTTAGGATTGAATGTCACTAACTTCTCCAAACAGTCACCCTAAGAATGTATACATTAATTGTATATTTTCTGCACACAGTCACCCTAAGAATATATATATATATATATATATATATATATATATATATATATATATATATATATATATATATATATATATATATATATATATATAAACTGTATGTTTTCTGCAGTCACCCAAGAATGCGTAAACCCAGCCCTATAGACTACAGCTACACAGGAAATATTTATATCCTGCCAGAGCGAGCATTGACTGAGTATCTTCTTCAGCCCAGGTAATATATGTTATTTGTTTTTCCCCATGTGGGTTCGGGGGCTTCATTTTGGAGAACAATAATTCCACTGCCACCCCCCCCCCCCCCCCCCCCCCCCCCCCCCCCCCACAAATGAGCATGTTGTTGGAGGCTACTAATCAAGGGTGATTCTTTAGTTGTAATGCGTCTGCTTGAGAGGAAAGGAATCAACAGTTGGCTTATAAATAAGCTAAATCTGTAAAACAGATGTGCACGCAAAACTCCAGTTCTGGAACAAGACCAAAATTCAGGAGTGAGCAAACAACCATAACTTTCCACTGTAGTTTACAGCCGGTGAATGCTAAGAAGGAGAAGAGGAAGTATGTGGTTTTAACTCCTTCTCTTCCAAACAACTTGTCATGGATTTTCCTTGTTGATTCCATAGATAACGTGTTCTTGCTGTCATCTATCACAAATATGTGTTACTACAGGGTCATTGGGTGTGATTGTCGGGATTGTAATCTGTTATTATTGAAGAAGTATTTAATGGATATACATGTGTGGCGTCTTAAAATGTTCCAAAATATTTAGTTTCCTATGACCTTGTGTGACTGTGTGGCCTAAAAGTGTGCTAGGAGGATAAGGAACATGCAGCACCTTAATGAGAGGATCACTACAGTAGTTCCAGCGGTATCAGATAAGAGCCTTCAGTATTTTCTTATCTTTCTCCCTGCTAGTAGTATTCAGATGGGACAGCTCACAGTCCTCTGTAAAGGTAGCGGTGCTATGCATGTTTTCCACTGATCCGTGCAGCTTGGTCTCTACCAGAATGTCAACTGGTCGGATGCGGGATCTCCTCTGTTGCTTGTAGTGATCATGTCTGCAGAAAACTCTGGGGGTGCCTGTCCACACAGGCAGACCTTGAGTATGATTAGAGATGGATGCTGTCACTGTGGAACTAAATGGTTTTTCTATACTGGTTTTTCAACTGCAAAAGCAGTTGTTATCTAACTCACAGTCCACCCTTTGGAAAGTTGCAAATGAATGACTTTGGAATGGGAGGCTGTCACCTAGGGATGGCCTACAACTTTTAAGAACTTGTATGGGTCTAATGTCTGGGTAATGCAGGTGTCTATGTAAAAATCTGCGATATATCGTTTCACGAGCACCGATAATTGAACATTGAAGTTTGGTTATACTGAAGCAATAAATTAAAGCTTTGTGCATGGCAACTTATGTCTTGATGAATGTCTTGATTACCGCTGTTTACTCTTTTAGTCCCAAGGGATGCACCATACGTTCATAGGTTCCCACCTAGAACCCCAGTGAACACACAGCGCACCAATTTTACGTCTCTTTACTACCCTTCGCATCTCGGATGTTAAACCCCCTGAGACTGAAAGAGTTACAGGAGAAATAATGGAATGCAGGTGAACATGTTTACAACATGAAACTAGCTCACAACGTGGTCAATCAGCATCTGCAGTGTTTGAAATCTTTGGGGAGTGAAGATGCATTTATTGGCTTGTCTCATATGCAGTGACTTAGTTGCTTCATCGTATTTGTGTAAATCTTCTTTTTATTCTTTTTTCTTCTTCTTCTTCTTCTTCTTCTTCTTCTTCTTCTTCTTCTTCTTCTTCTTCTTCTTCTTCTTCTTCTTAATTCTACCATTCTACTTCTTCATTTTCTACTTTTTCTTCTTCTGCGCTTGCCTTCAATAGAGTGGTTGACAAAAGAGTGGTTGACAGGTTATGTTGTGATTTGTAGTTAGGCTGTGACATCTGTGCCTTTGGCCCAATGCCTCTGATTTCAGCAAATCCTTTAAAAGTCATCTTTCATGACATGTTTTTTAAGAGGCAGTGCGTTTTTGTTTTCCTGCATCAACGTGTCCCTGGATCACACAAGGTCAATATTAATGTATATATTAAAGCAATTGCCCTCATGTGGATTTCTAAGCCCAGTTTGGGGGAGGGGAGAGTATAAAATAAACCAGTGTTTCCCAAACTTGTCTTGGTCTTGGCGCCTTTTTTCATTTAAAATTTTTCCACGGCGCCCTAACCTAAGTAAAAGTATGACTATTTGTGTCTTGGTTAAATTAATTATGAAGCTTTCACAGTATTTCCCTGTGAAGAGGTCGCACCTCCAAGAGGCGCCGCGGCGCACAGTTTGGGAATCACTTAAATAGACCCTTAACGGGCAATACATAAAAGATGACTATAGGTTTGCTGAAATCGGTTTTATTGGGCTGAAAGAGCAGATTTTGTAGCTTAGCTGTAAACCACTACACTACATGACAACCACTCTTATAAGGCTGAGGACAAAAAAAAGATCTGGGCTATCCTCCGAAAAATGGTCCTAAATTATCGAGGCCGAAAATATACCCTAACAGGGCCTCAGTCACATGTAAATTGCAGACTTCCACCGCTTAGAGTATCTCCCGCGCTGCGCGTAGCTAAACTAGGGGGGCTAAACTAGATGGCTAGGACTCACGAGCAAATAAAATTACGGAAGCTGCAGGAGATGCGTTAGCTGCTGCTCGTGAGTCCCAGCCATCCGCGCCGCACGTAGAGTAGAAAATAGAGAGTAGCTTAGCGCGGGAGATACTCTGGTGGTGGCGGTAGTCGCCGGAAGTCCGCAGTTTGAGTTGCCTGAAGTCCCAAATTTACATGTGACTGAGGCCCTGCTAGGGTATATTTTTGGCCTCATTAATTTGGGGCCGTTATTCGGAGGATAGCCAAGATCTGTAACTGTAATTTGATGATCAATGTCTGTATTGATGTTGTTGCAATCTCTGTTTCATAGCCTTTGCATTCAGATGACATTAAGTTATCATTGCATCACTTGTAACTTTTTCCGTTTACAGTGATCTTGAGGAACTGCCTAAGTACATGAGACGCAGTCCTTACGCTGAAGGAACTCGCATCACTCTCTACCTCAGAACAGATGTCGAGGAAGTGTAAGAAAAATATTTACCTGTCTTCTGTTATTATGTTTATTCGTATTTCATCATCACACTTACCTGCCGACCTGAAGGTCATGGGTATACATTTGAACAAACTGGACTTTTTTTTTCAAAAATGATTTTGGCTCTCAGGTCGACCCAGCCAGTCGGTGGGTACAAAGTAGAGTCTGGGGAACGGGTGGCGTGATGTTGACCACATCACCCACCATGTGCAGATTGGTCTGTAAAATATAGGACTAGCCCAATGTGCCACGTACGCCTGAAGGTGTGAAAATTGGTCCTTTACATATTTCATCATCATATATAGAGTCTCCTTAGGCAAGTGGTCAGAATACTTGCTTCACTTTTTGAAGGTCTGGGTTTGTTTCACTCACTTTTTTTTATTTATTTTTATTTTTTGCCTGCAAATTTTTTAGCTTTTAGTGTTTACTCCAATCACTAGGGTTCATCCCTCGATCTACAGAGTTGGTGCTTTGTGCCTCTACCTGTGGGTTCTGGGCCCATTGTGGGGAGGGAGGGGGTAAAGTATAGTACAATCCCAAGTACATGAAAAAGAAGAAAGAAAAAAAAAGAGGGAAGTGTGTGCATCTTAATTGCTACAATTTCACCTGGCATGTTGTGGCATTTAATTTCTTTTTGTGTTCAAAAGTCTGAGGTACTAGATAGTTGCAAGATGTAAATTGTTTCTTCTACAGGGCACTCAGCAAATGGGGTAGTTTTGATAAGTTGAACAAAGAGAAGGCCAGATTACGGCAATCTGACAGCAGTGGCAAATGTAAGTATAGAACATAACACTAACCATTACTCAAAGTGAGACCCCAAAACACACATGGGGAGTCTTAATTAGATGAGATAGTAGCACTAAAGAACTGAAAAATGTTAAACTAAGAATTGGGACAGAGTGAGTTAGTGCATCAACTGGATGGGGCACAGTGTGGTAAGAAAAGTACATCATGTGAGTTGACACCAATAGACATACAGTGAGCTGGCTTGAGAATCAGCTGTACACACATATTGTAATTGTAACTGACTCACAGAGCATGTTGAGAAAGGTGAAGACGGGCATGCTTCATGCAGAGTGGCAAGCATCGCTTCAGTGGTTCAACATAGTTAGCGTCCTTTGGATATTTTCTCCAGGTTTTGCTGGTATGTTGGGAAATGAGCATGTAGATAGACTGGCTGGTTCTGCACCACTTTGTGGTGAATTGATGAATGACAAAGCTAGAGGTTGTGAAGATCCTTTGGAAGCGAGTAAACAGTGCGGATGCACAAATAGGTCATTACAACTTGAGGAGAATGACGCTGCAAGGAGCAATTAGGGAATCTGGCCAAAGCTCAGCACTCAAGGGAAAGGTGAGGCGGATATACAGTTTGACATTTACTGGTGCTGAAGATGGGGATGTAGCGCTTATGGGAGTATCCTAAGTGCTGTGCTGTCAATTCTTAATTCAACATTCAAACATACAGTGAGCTGCTTGATGCTGAAAGAGTTGATGTTGTGGTATTTTATGGGTTTGCTTGAATTCACTTTGTTTAGCACTGCTGTAGAATTGACTCAGCCTCCTAACTCTTTGAGTCCCAAGAAATGAATCATACGTTCATAGGTTCCTACCTAGAAGCCCAATGCACGCATGATGCGCCGATTTTATAACTCTCTTTACTAGCCCCTGGACCTGTGTTGCTAAATCCCCTGAGACTCACAGAGTTCAAAATAGGTACTGGAAAGATTACTTAACCCTGTCACCCCAAGAGGCCTTGAACTAGACATTTCCATCCGCGACTCATTCCCGTATATTCTGCGTAATTGGATTTTCCCAGTGCCTTGTCAAAAAAATCCTTAGTTAAACTTACACAGTGTTTATGAGATTTGAGTATGAAAATACTCACTAAAATAGTTTTCTTGTAACCAGAATGGCTTTTGTACAGCCATTTTGAAGTCATAATTTGTCCATATCCTCAGTGTTGGAGGTCACGGGGTCACTGCATGAGTCACCTGATACATTTGTTTTAAAGGCTGTAGAGAGTCTGTTTAGTTTAATTCGTCACTCCATTCATGTTTATTCATACTGATTACTCCCTTGAAATATTTAGAAAAATGATAAAAGTAGATAAAACCATTTTTTGACAAATTTATTAGTGACTAGTAAAATAAAGACCCTTTTCTTCACCTTCCAGAATATTGGGCATATAGGGCTAGACCTATACTTTATAGACCGATCGGCACTGAATGGGTGATGTAGTCAGCATCACACTGGATGCTTTTACTTCCCAGGATCTACCTGGTTCCCACTCGAGGCTGGGTCGACCTGAGAGCCAATTAATTTTTTTTTTTTTCTAATTTGGCTCCATCAGGACCCGAACCGTGGCCTTCCGACCCACAGGCATGCATCTAGCCGCTACTCCATGATGGCTTTTATTGGTGACTAATGTCACTTTCTTTTAAGGTGTTTTCAGAATAAAGGGATACATTTTTCAGAAAGAAATTATGTTGAGAAAAGGAGCGGTCATTTCACATCAAATGTGCAAAATCCTGACACTTGATACCTTTATCACCCTATATGGGTTCTGGGGTCCCATTTGGGGGAATGGGATTGGGGATATAGTAGACTCTCTTCCCTTCACGAGCATGCCTTAAATGGCAACAAATAGGAGTTTTCTGAAATCAGATGTGTAAGGCCTAAATATTGCAGCCTAGCTGTAAAACACCTACGGGCCAACCACCCATTTAAAAGTGAACACTGAAGAAGAAGAAGAAGAAGAAGAAGAAGAATACCCTTAGCTACATCTGTCATTGGATTAGCATTTATGATAACTGTCTTTAACAGATGACATAATGGACTTAAGAGCACTTCTGGGAGAGATATATTCATCACACCCTGAAGAGTCTCACACAGGGGACACCTCTGCTCCATCGGCACAAGAGGACAATGAAATTAAGGTTTGTGTTTGTAAAAGAAAACTGTTGAATATCTTACTTTGAGAAGACCATTGGCGGAGCAGTTAGAACTCTGGTCTCTTAAGCGGAAGATATAGGTTCGAATACTCAGTGAGGTTGGGGATTTTTTTTCTGTTGGGGGGGGGGGGGGGGGGGGAATCTTAACCTGAACAGTCCATGGTGACAGCACTAGCTGTCTGGCCCTAAATCCTCAGGTTCAAAGCTTTCCCCCCCCCCCCCCCCCCCCCCCCCCCCCCCCCCAACCGCTATAGAGACTGGGCTATATGGGATAAAAGTAGGTGCAATTAAGTCAATCCCCATGACTTTAACTAGTTGTAGATAGCGCTGCCGAGCTATAAAACCATAGCACAGTATCCCATTGGCTCTTCTAACAGTAAACAAAAAGATGTATAAGAACAACTAGAGATCTCACAATACGTGCCTTAGCTACTCTTTCTGTGGTATCGATTTTCTTAATCTTTCTGTTATGTTCTTATGTTGACCCATTTGATCTCATTTGTTGCTATAGCTTCTGCCTCACTCATGTATTTTTCAATTTTGTGGGAGCAAAAGGATACTCTCAGTCACAAAAGCTGAAACATAGGTAACATGTCACACAAATGTCACAATATATAATGCAATCTTTCTTTGTTATATGAGATGAGAAAGAGAATTCTCAAGAACTATATAAATCTTATCAACTCTGGTCTAATAAACTCCAAAAAATGTAACCTATTCAACAAGGAAACAACAAAGAATTCTTTTCTACATGGATTATGTATTTAGTTAAAATGGCGACAACTGCCCTCTACCTGTGGAAAGCTCCAAAACCAACCCCCCCCCCCCCCCCCCCCCCCCCCCCCCCCCCCCCCCCCCCCCCCCAATCCGTTTTTGTCTTAATCTTTTCTGTCCCTCTTACATTTTTATGTGTTGCATTTTGTTTCCTCAGCAACACACCTAAGAACACTATACTCACATACACACAAGATGGAAATTAAGGGCTGTAAACACAGGTGGAGAGTCTTGGTTGTTTGATGTCTTCTGGAGTTTGGTTTTGTTCCAGGACTTTAGTCGTGCAGGCACATCCCTTTTACAAATCTGGCTTGTTTTGTGTGCAGACTGTTGGTTCTTCATCTCTCAGGCAGATGCACTCCTGTTTCAAAGGAAATGTTGGTCGTATCTATGCTGGCCAGGCCCCTGGTTGGGAAGATGTTCCTAGGATGACTGCAGAGAGAGGTAGATAGGTTTTGACCTGTATGAGCCCTGACCCTGGTGCCCCACCACTTGTGGTTTAGCATCTCTACATCCTGTATAGACAGTGTTGAAGAAACAGTTATATCTGGGACTAAAGAATTTGTTTCCCTTCCGGTGTCCATCTGATGGCTTGATGGGGGGAGTCTAGTCTTTTTCATTCTGAGTGCATGGCTGATGTAATTCCAGCGCAGCTTTCTTATAAAATTGGATACATTATCTTGCTTGGGCTCTTGTCTTATTTGCGTATTGGATCTTAAATCTGTCCGAGGGAGATTTAGTATTCTTCTAAGACATCTGTTCGCAAAATTGTCACATTTTTGTTCTAGAGCTGCTGTGGCTTTCCAACACTTGCATCCATAAGTTGGCGCTGGAATCACACACGAGTTGAAGATCTGAAGTTTTGTGTGTTTGCTGAATGTCTTTGACTTCTAGATGTTTGACAGTTCAAAGATGTCCTTGAAATTTCACAATTTAACAAGTTTGAACAAAGCAACATAACATTTGGAAGACCAAGAGAGATCCTGTATAGAACCATTGTCAGAATAGACTCAACCATGGGCCTAATGAGCATTGAAGACCTAAAACAGGTGGCCACTGATCTTTCCAGTTGTTACGATGTTCTCCAATGTTTCTCTTCTCATTATGTGGCCAAAGAACAGTGTTTGTCTCTTTCTTATGTTGTATATAGAGATCTACTTTCATTAGCTAACTAACTAAAGAGTTCATAATTCTGTATTCACAGGAGCCAGGATTCTGGAGTTCTGGAACAACACGAGTTGTCTTGTCAGCAATTCTTGTGTAAGCTAATCTTGTGTTTGTTATTCTCTGTCTTATAGTGGCGTGAGTGATATGTTTATTTTTCCTATGTGGGACAAGTTCTGAGACACCCTGTAGTATCATGTGTTACTCAGCTTCAGGTGGGTAAAATGGCAGCTTGATTCAGACATCTCATGTCACAGGTGTTTATTTTACGTTTTGTGAGTTTACTGTAAAGTCCAGGTGTGACATTAGTAACACACAGAGCTGGTATGAAAATACTTGATTGAATGAGTTATCTCGGGGGGTGGGGGGGGGGGGGGGTTATTAGACTCAGTGCCCCTAACTAGCATGCCGTAAAATTGACTAGGGATTTGCTGAAGTTGGATGTATTGGACTGAAAGGTGCATATATCGCAGCCTAGCCATCTATAAAATAATGCGCCAACTGCCCTTCCTTCTAAGGGCAGACACAAAAGATGAAGAAGAAGTTAAATGTGACAAGTTTCCGTTGCACAAGACAGTCCTAGAGGCACACTGACTTTGAACAGGCCATTGAACATACTATATTATATACAACAATAAGGAGACCCCAAAAACAAAACAAAAACTGAAGTTCTTTGGTCATGTGATCAGAAAAGCAGCACTGGAAAATATCATGATGACCAGAAGGATCACTGGCAGAAGAGGCAGACTAAGAGAAATGATGGTGGATGGCTTAAGACAGTGTGGTATGGAGGAATGTCATTGGTGGAATTGATCCAGAACACCAAAGACCGAGATCTATGGAGATGAATGACGCCTACGCCAGTTGGCAAGGCACTTGATAATAATGATTGAACATACAGAAAGAGTTAATGACATGATCCTGTTTGTTTCAGAAATGGAGCCAACACTTTGTTCAAGTTGATTGCCTGGTTGTATACTGGATCACACAGTATGTTTTCTGAGTTCATCCATTCCTGTGCAGACACTATGAATCAAGTATGAAATTTCAGTCCGTCTAAATAATCCTTGAACACATCACAGTAAATTAGTCGGTCAACAGATCATCCTCATTGCACATTAAACCAGTCAGTCTTTAAGTGTTTGTATCCCCTCCTTATTAAATTCCCCTAGCTTGTAGTGGCTGATGACACCAGTTCTGGATTGGCTTATTGTTCTTTGGCTTTTGCTCACTGCTTTTGTCTGGCCTCACCCACTTTTAACTTTGCTGGTCTTGCAGTCTGATCGGGGCAGCAGATTCACATTAATAACTGGGTTCTCACACGTCTTACTTCTCTTAATCTTAGTCCAGAAGTGGATGAACAACCACAACTTTCTGCCATAGTTTACAGCCAGTAAATGCTAAGAAGAATAGTTAGCTTCAGAAATATCTGCTGCAGTATCCCTTTTTTCGTCTGCATTTCTTCTTCCAAGGGTGGTCAGCATATTGTTGTTGTTTACTGCTGGACTGGGATATCTGTGCGTTGTGGCTCAACACGTCTGATGTCTGCAAACTTATAATTAGCCGCTTTTTACAAAATTGATGTCTCTGTGGCTTAGGCGTTGTGAATTTGCTTCGACATGCCTGAGTGCCAAGTTCGTTTCCGGCTGCGGACAATTTGTCTTGCGCTAGTTTCGACAGGGGCACTGAGAGCTGACTGTTCGGTAAGCAGTGGCAAACTACTGAATGTAGTTTTACAACATGCTTGTTAGGGTGACACTAGGTCTGTTCTTTCCTCCCCCCCCCCCCCAAATGGGGCCCCAGAACCCACATGTGGATGTGACAGTATTCAGTTAAAGTAAATGTCCTTGTCACCTTGAGGATGTCTAACTGTTATGTATTTGTGATAAATTAACCTGCTACAGTGGTATAGAAGTTGTATGTTACTGATGTATCTTTTCCTTTCTTGTTCACTTCCTAACCTTCTATGATGATAACTCTCCACTGGGCAGTGGACACTGGCATGTTCCCAAGAGTTACCTATTTAAAATGTTGAATTAAAAATCAACATCACAGCACTCAGGACACTCCCACAAGTGCTCCATCTACATCTTCAACAGCACGCGAAGAGTTCCAATTCCGATGGCGCCAATAATCGTCTGATTGTTTCTCCATCTCATCCTTCTCCTGAGTGTTGAGCATCGGCCAGATCCCCTATTATCTATTATTATATTATTATCATTATTAATATCTTTTAGATCCCTATACCTATTAAAATATTGTTATATGTCACTGCTGTATCGTTTCCTTTCTTTTCCACTTTCTAACCTTCCATGTTAATAACTCTGATGGACAGTGGACACTGGCAGGTTCTCAAGGGGTATCTGTTAAAATATAGTTCTAAAATGGGTACCAGGATGGGCTGTCCTGGGAAAGTAAAGACAGCCGGCGTAATGCTGACCACATTACCTACAGAGTGCTGATGGTCTGTAAAAATATGGGACGCTCTGCCCATATGCCCAATGCGCCGAAAGGCGTGAAAAGGGATCTTCACTTTACTTTACTTACTGTATCTTAAATCACTGACACTCTCTCCATGTGGGTTCCGAAGCCACAGTTTTTTTGGGGGGGAGGGGGGGGGATAGACACACTTCTCCCCTAACAAGACTGTCACAACAGAAATTGACTAAATTATGGTGTTTCCTTCAAAGTCAGGAGTACATTGCCCGGAGATGCTAGGAAAGTAAAGTAAAGGACCCTTTTCCACGCCTTTAGGCATATACGACAAGACCTGTATTTTATAGACCAATTAGCACAAGATGGGTGATGTGGTCAGCATCACGCCGGCCACCTTTACTTCCCTTGACCTGCACCCGGTACCCACTCAAGGCTGGGTCGACCTGGGAAGTAAACACTAGTTTTCATAAAGATAAACCAGATCAGTAAAACAGATGTGCGTGCAAAACTGAAGTTCTGGGACACAATCAAAGTCCAGAACTGGATGAACAGCCAGAATTGTTGTTCATCCGAATTTACTGCAGATGAATGTGAAGAAGACTATCTTTTCCTTTCTTCACTTCCATACCTTCTGCAGTAATAACTCTCTGACAGACAGTGGACACAGCCAAGTGTTCCAGGAGTTATTTGTTATGGTATAGTAATATTCACTTACACACAGTTAATAGTAGTCGTAAAATAACTATTAACATTTCTGTTACTCCACTGCAGATAATCCTGGGAATTGGACTGTACCACTCCTTCAAAAAACCAGATACAGACCATCCGTAAGTAAAAGTGGCAATTGTCTATCACATTTTGAATTCCTATAATTGTACATAACCACAAGACCCCATCAGCAGACTCAAACAGAAAACAATGTACAACAATTTTCCGTCTAAGAACAGGACACTGCAAGCTCAAGCACCACATGCAAAACATAAAGACATTACACTCCCGACTGTGTGTATGTTGGATGGGACCACAAACACTTGAGCATATTCTGCAGGCCTGCCCACTGTGCTTACAACTACAAAGAAGAAAACCTGGCATCAAGAGCAGTTTTGCCACTTTTCTTTGACAAAAAACATCCAAAATGGAGTCCTAAAAATATCTAAAAACATCTAAATTTGCATAGAAAGCATCTAGAAAAAACATCCAAATGGAAAGAGTCACAAATTACATAGTAATTGATATGACTTACCCTATAGAATCATGTCCTCTTCTTTACTGAAGTCTGCCTTACAAGATCCACAGGATAAACTTAGCTTGGATGATGAAGTTGAAGCTTCAGATCCAAAATGACTCTGGTATGCTTTAGCTGTTCCAATTTCTTTTAATACCCAATCAGGGAGCTGATAAGTGGAACAGCCTTTTCCTACTCTTATAAGGCCGAATTTTATTGTCAAGATAGCATTCAAGAGGTCAAATTCCATCCTGTTTCTTAAGTTAGATTTGATAAATTCACTCCAAATGAAAACATCAAAAAAAAACAACAACCATCTAAACGTCAAAAACGCCATCTAAATGCGAGGGGAAACATCTCAATTTGGATGTAAAAATCCAAAGTGGCAACACTGATCAAGAGCAAAGTGTGCAGAGTAAGCTGTGAGGAACCATGAGGGACCTACAGCTGACAAGCGTATTCATAGAGGCAGCTCGCCTGATGGTCTGAACTGAGCATAAGAAACACAACGCATAGAAGAAGTAGAATTCCCATCGAGATGGAGATTTCCTTTACATTTACCTAGGCTCTCAGGTGGACCCACCCTAAAATGGGATCCAGGAAATGTATTGTGGAGTAAAGGCAGATTAAATGATATTGACTGTATCACTCGAGTCTTCTGGCAGTTGCCTTATGCGTTTAATGTGTGTGCATGCTGTTAGCTCTGCTGACACTGCATTTTGTTTCAGTTCTTTTTCACAAGGGACAGTTATAGGTGGGAGCTGTCATTGTCTAGTGGATATAGTTTGCCTGAAGATCTAAGGGTATTGGGTTCAAATCCGAATGGAGCCTGACTTTCTTTTCTTTTTTTTAAATGTTCTTGGCTCCCAGGTTGACCCAGCATTAAATGAGTGCCAGGTAAAGTTCTGGGAAGTAAAGACAGCCAGCATTGACCACATCACACCCTGTGTGCCAATGGTCTATAAAAATAAGTCTAGCATTTCATACACAGAGATGTATCCCTGCAGAGTGGCACCCGAAAATGCTGAGCATGTGCTCCAACACTGGTAACTGTATGCTGACAAAAGAGACGCAATCTGTCCTGTTCCAACCACAATGACAACAAAGCTGAATGGTACACAAGAAGATATGGACTGCACGATAGCTTTCATAAAGGCTACCGGCCTCCTGATATGTTTTCTGACAAAAGGATCGAAGAAGAAGATGCCCAATACGCTTAATGCCTGCAAAAGAGTCCTCAGCAGTGATAGGCATTCTGTAGGTTTTTCTGTGTGTTTGTTGTTTGTTTTGGCTAGCACAGAAAGGAAGCAGTCATGTTTAGCTTATTTCCTGTCATCCTGGAACTGACTTTCTGACTGACAAACACATCAAGTGCACATTGAGCTGCACTAATTGAAGTAATCCTACTACTGCAGGGAGCTGCGGTAGCATACGGGCTAGACACACTCACCTCCTGGCCTGAAGGTCTCTGTTTCAGATCCACATGTTTTTCATGTTGACCTTGGTTCCTAGAGTAACCCAGCTTTATATAGATACCAGGTATCAATGAGTGAATCAAGAATTGACATTACTGCTCTTGGGACATTTCCACACCTACTCCGTCTCCTTCTTCAGTAGTCAACAAAGAGTCAGCATGCAAATAGTACTAGTTGCAACCTGATTAAAAGTCTGCCTATGTTTCCCCCTCAGTGTTGAATATCTTTCAGAACCTCCACTTGAACTCAGTCAAACTAGTCTTTCATCGTATGGATTCTCTGTCTGTTCTCTTGCACTGTCTCATTTGATGCCATTGATTTTTTTCTTAAAATCTCCTGGGAAATAAAGGTGGTCAGCGTGATATCAGCCCATCGAGTTTCATTGGAAGTATAAAAAATGTATATTTAGCGAAAGTTGAATGCATTTGAAAACAGATGTCTGAGGAGAATGACGAAAGTACAGTTGGATGAAGTCAAGAGCAAAGCAGTAAGAGAAATATCTGGACAACCACTAGTACCAACAGTTATAAGACAGAGAAGATGGCAATACACTGGCGTAGAAGCCCAAATGAAACCCTAAGAGGAACGGTGATGAAAGAGGCCAAAGCTGCAGGACTGGATTCCAACCATGATATTGAACTGTTTACACAGATAGAAGGGAATGGAGGAATAGACTGCAAGCCCTATATGACATTTAATGGAACAACAAGATAGTAGATGAATAAACTATTGCCAGAGGTATGAAAAGGGTCGTCTGTGGCTTAGGTGTTGCGAACACGCTCCGTAATGTCAGGATGCCAGGTTCGAAAAGGGTACTTTACTTGATACTTACTTCTACCACTGATCAAGGTAGTGGGTTATTGGTATCCTCTATCAAAGGAGAAGTGAGACGCCTTCTTCCCTCCGCTAGCCTACGGGACACCATTGGGCAAGGAGGAGGGCCTGTTTAACCCTAATGGTCATGTCTCAAATTCCCCGATTGTAGGTAGAGGATCACAGTGTAGCCAAATCAATGGCTACGGTCACCCGACTAGTAAAGATACTGCCGAGAAAGAAGGCAATGGCAAACTACCTTTTTTGAGATGTCAAGAATATTCATGATTTCACGAGAAGCAGTCCCCATCGTGACAGAAGACAGTCGTAAACTTTTTAGAACAGTTAAATGTAGTCGGTTATTGTATTTAGGACATGTTATAAGAAGGAATGGGCTCCAGAACTTGGTAACCACTGGCAAGAGTGTTGGAGATGAGAGCCAGAGAAAGGCAGAGAAATTTACACCTGGATGGCCTGGCCAGATGGATGGGGCAGACAAAAACATTTAACTGATCCGTGATTCTAGTAATTGTGTGAGATGGCAAAACATCTGACTCTTTCATGCATGTCACATGATGATGATGACCACTGATCCTCAAGATGTTCTCCAAAGCTGCTCTTCTCATCATAAAACCCACAAATATCATCATCATAAGCCAGCAGTTTCTTTACAGAACGTCACGTTCGTCACAACATGCCTGAAAGTCTCTCCTTTTTCTATCCAGCTTTGCAGCCCTATGTGCTCTCATAGGCAGTGCATCTTCAGTGTATCCACATTTGAGGAGCACAGCTTCTGCCTTATTTTCTGACCTTCACGTGGTGGACCCATTTCTCCACAATAGTGCTGTGGAATGTTGGGGTTTTGATCACCAGCAGCAAAGTGTGGGTTTCAGGCCCCATTTTGGGAGAGGGGAAAAAAAAAAAGAATAGACCCACTGGCCTCATCCCCCTCCCATCTCTCCCCCTCCACCCTTTTTTTTTTTTTATCAAGCAGAAAGTGACTGATTGGGGGGTGCTTCCTTTAAAGTCGGGGTGAAGCTGCCTGAGAGGTGAGAAACCAAAGGTCTGCACACAAATAACCCAAATCTGTAAAATGGATACACAAGCAAAACTCAAGTTCTGGAACAAGACCAAAGTCCATAAGTGGATGAACAACCAGAACTTTCTGCTAGAGTATACAGCTGATAAATGTTCAGAAGAAGAAGAAGTAGAATCAACAAGAAGCATGGAACTGGATATCATATTAAATATGGTAAAGGCAAAATCTGGTTCCTTCGGCCAACTAGGGATTTGAGTGCATAATTTGAAACTGAGTTGTGAATGTAATAAGGAATGCTTTATATTTGTGCTCCTGATGATCTTTGTTGTGAACAGCATAGTCAGAATTGGGCAGATGGCTTGTTGCCACAGAACTGGCAGTATGCCTTATACAGTAATGTGTGTACATGTTTGCTTGGGTGTATGTAAGCTGGTTTGTCATGACTGCTGCTTCTATCAAAGATAAACTGCAGTTCTTGTGACAGACTTTTGGTGTTGACACCTCTGGTGTCTGTCGTATGCAGAAATGCATATGTGAGCTGAAAGGTTTTGAGGAGAATGCTGTCAGTTTGACTAACTTTTCTTGTGGATTAGTGATAGTTATTTTGTGTGACACAGGAACAGATTTCGAGGTGACCCATCTGCCATTTGAACTAAGACTGACAATCTGAACCTGGTCATCTTCTTCTTTATTTCCTCTTTTACCACTACGGATGTCGAGGGAAATATACCTGATCAGTTGAATTTTAAACGGAAGTCATCATTTGATTAGTATTGATCACTCCTCATGTTTAATGTAGGCATGAATGTGCATGAGAAAGACAGAGAGAGGGAGAATGAGTTGGAGAGAGACATGGAGAGAAGGCATTACTTTGTGAATAAAGTTCATAGAAATTTTCATATTACTTTTCTTAAATGTTTTGTTTTCTCACTCAGTATTTAGCTCTTCATTGGTGACTTTGTCTCTTCTTGTTTTTTTGCAGCATTTTTTATACAACCAGAACTTTTGCGAGAGTGTACATTGAACGCGAAGAAAGAAAAAGAAGAAATTTTTGAAATTCATTTTTATGCCTACTGTTGTTTTTTTTCGTTGGTGATTGCAGCATTTTTTATTTTTATTGTAAAAATTTAATTTAGGGTTTCTTGGATTGTTATTTTTTTTTTAAATTTCTTTTTTTTTTTATGTTGGGTACATGATGCTAGATTGATATTTTTATAAACCAATCGGCACAAAGAAAGTGATGTCATCGGCGTCATGTCAGCCAGCTTTACTTCTCAGGACATTACCTGGTACCCCTTTTAGGCTGGGTCGACCTGGGAGCTACAACAGATTTTGAAAACAATTTGACTCGTGGAAACAAACCCAAGACCTTTGGGTCTGCAGGCACATTTCTTCTTCCTCTTCTTCTTCTTCTTCTTCTTCTTCTTCTTCTTCTTCTTCTTCTTCTTCTTCTTCTTCTTCTTCTTCTTCTTCTTCTTCTTCTTCTTCAGCATTCCGAGCCCTTGAGGTTCATTCCCGCAGATATCACCCACCTCCATTCATCTCTCTGGTTGGCCTTCTCTTTCCAGTTGGTGACACTAAATGTTTGCAGGTCTCTCTGGACATTATCTCTTCATTTCTCCAAAGATTCGTCGTAATACTCTGTTTTTGAAAACCTGTAAAGCATCTTCTCTTTTGTTGGAGTAGTTAAAGTTTGCATTTTCAGTACTTATGTTTCCATTGCATTTGACTTTTTTATATTATCAATTTCTTTGTCTAGTGTATTTCTTCAGCAGTTGTATATCCTTTCACTATTTTGTTATTATCATGTATTCTGTCTTATCTTGATTGATAACTAGTCCCATTTTGTGAACTGCTTCTTTTATCAGAGAGTCCGTGTTTTTTCAGTCTCTAGCTCATTTTCTCCAGTGATATCAGTGTCATCTGCATAACCAAGTATTCTTGTAGTTTCTCCTAAAGTACACTCTTGTTTATGTTTTTCTTGGACTGTTATTAAAAATAAAATAAAAAGATTAACCTTTTTTTTTATGTCAGTAGTGTGTTGGGCATATGATGCTAGATTCATATTGAAAGGCACATGTCTGGTTTACTATAATTAGTTTTATATTGTTAATTTTATTTTGTTAACTTTTTATTCATAGTTTACTATTTTAGTTGAGTGTTGATAGTTTTTAATTTATAGTTTACTATTAACTTGATGCTGAAAGGCAGATTAGGACCTGGGAGCTACAACAGATTTTGAAAACAGTTTGACTCGTGGAAACAAACCCAAGACCTTTGGGTCTGCAAGCACATTTCTTCTTCTTCTTCTTCTTCTTCAGCAGCATTCTGAGCCCTTGAGGTTTATTGCCGCAGATATCATCCACCTCTATTCATCTCTCTGTATGTATGCATGAGTATATGTATGTATGTGAGTATCTGTGTGGGTGATTGTATATGTGTGTATGCATACATGTGTGTGTATGTATGTATGTAATATGTGTCGGCATGTATATGGATGTGTGTATGTATGCATGTTTGTGGATGTGTGTATGCATTTGTAGATGTATAAGTATGTGGGTGTATGTGTGTGTATTTAGGTATGTATGCAAGTATGCATGTATGTGTGTGAAGATGTAGGTGTATGAATAGGTGTGTATGTTTGTGTGTATGTATGTATGTGTGTATGTATCTTTGTGTGTAAGTGTAAATGTGTGGTTGTGGGTGTCTGTACATGTGATTGTATGTGTGTGTATGCATGCATGCATGTGTAGGTGTGTATGTATGGAATGTGTGTGTGCATATATGTCCATATATGTATGTGTGTGTCTTTTCTGTTTGTGTATATATGTAGATGCGTTTATGTATGTATGTATGTATGTATGTATGTATGTATGTATGTATGTATGTATGTATGTATGTATGTATTAAGTATGTCTGTATATGAGTGTGCATGTATGAGAATGTGAGAGTATATATATGTGTGTGTGTGAGTGTGTAAGATTGTGTACACATGATGTGTGTATGCATTATTCTATAATGTATATTTATTATGTCCATAACATGCATTTTAGATAACAGGCATTGGTACTCTGAAAAACGAGTGCTTAGAAGGGCCGAATGTCAGACGGGCCTGCGTGCCCAATTTGTAACCCTTTGAAAATAAAGTTTGTTTGTTCGTTCGTTCTCTGGAAAAAAAAAGATGTTAACTGTTACTTTTTTGTGTTCATAGTTTAGTATTGATAGTTTTATACTGATAGTTGTATGTTCATAGAAAAGGTAATAAATCAGTGGTGCGATGAAATCTGAATATTGTCAGTGATAATTACATTAAAGAAAGAGAATGGTGTTAATGTTGCTAATGATGATGTTAAAGATGAGGATGAAATCTACATTATAACAGTTACATGTTTCTGACATACTTGATGGTACTTCTGGGTGTTCTGATCTAGGTGTGGTTTTTACTTCCAGCAACTCTCATCATTGCTGTCAACCAGGTCAGAAAAAATGCCAAAGTTCATAAGATGAACTTCTCAGAATATTGTAAGTAATTATTTGCTTCTTTGCCTTTCATTCTTTCTCTTTTGTCCTCTCTGTATTCAGAACTGAACATGAACTGTCAGCCAGTGCCTGGAAGAGAATCTTAGGGGATCAAGGTTTGCGGTTTGAACAACAGATCAACATCATGGTACACGGGTAGTAACCCATAAGTGCTCTGTTCTTCTTCTAAGTCAAGGATGAGTCTGATGAAGCTCATCACAGTGCACAGGCTCTGTAGCAGCGGCGAGGATCCTGAAATACTTTTGGGTAGATTTTTAATTCAAAATTTTTGCCAGTACAGCACCGTTAAGCTACTCTTTTAGATTTTCAACTGCCAAGGGATTTTTTACGTGCGCAACAAATCACACAGGCGTCCAATCTCACTACCCAGAGACCAGAGGAGTTACTCGACATCCAAGTCCACATGAACAAATCCTAGCCTTTACCGGGGATTGGAACCGGAACCTGTTACACTTGAGGCGGACACCATACATCGAGACCACACAGCCCCCTAAGCAGTCAAAATAGTGAGAAATACTTCAGAAATTGCAGATGTGTAGTTTTCTGTACAGTCATATCAGATCATTTTAAAAAACAAAAGGCAAATGAATTAATTTGGCCACGTTAAAAGACATATTACTATTTTTAAAACTATACTGGAGGGAAAAGTCGAAGGCAAGAGAGAAGGCAAAAGACAGAGGATGTTGGAGATCCATTGTAGCCAACATTCATTGTGGAGATGACACTAGACCAAAGACAGATACAGATCAGAATGAAGATGCCTTGAAAGAAATTACAAATTAACTCACTCAGAGAACTGCTTACCTGCATCAGAAGACACAAATGACTCTCTTTGGGTATGTCTTGAGAATGAGAAACTGGACATGTTGTGTTAGCAGGAAAGTTGGAAGAAAACAGAGGTGGTGGGAGACTAGGAGAGAGAATGTTAAATAATAAATTATTCCCTGTGTGGCTTCCAGGGCCCCATTTGGGGGGTGGAAGAAATGACTGTCACCCTATCAGGCATGTTGTAATAGACTGCTAACTGGGAATTTTTCCTCCAAAGTCAGAGTTTATCTGCCTGAGAGGCTAGGAACCAGGAGTCTGCATTCAAATTAGCATATCTGTAAAATGAATGTGCACGCACAGTTCAAGTTCTGGAACAAGACTGTAGTGCAGAAGTGGACAAACAACCAGAACTTTGTGCCGGAGTTAACAGTCAGTAAGCGCTAAGAAGAAGAAGAAGCAGGACGGCATGGAGGAACATCTGTATTACAGTATGAATGTATTACAGTATGAATGTATTACAGTATGAATGTATTACAGTATGCAAAAACACAAGAAGACAGCTGATTTGAACCCACAACCTTCGGATCCACAGTTTACTCTGAATATTTTTTCAACACTTTGAGCGAAGGTTATAAGCTTTACAAGAACTCATCTCCTTCATCAGCAAATAAAATCAAAGACACATTTTTTCTTCTGTGTTTTTGTTCTGCTACTTGTTATGTTTCTAATCTTGTAAAGCTGGATTTTTGCACTTTCCACTGATGCTCATATCCTCATTGACTTCATGTTGTGGTTTCTGTATATACAGTGCTACGCGGTATGGACCCCAATCTAAATGTTGGGGTTTCTGTATATACAGTGCTACTTGGTGTGGACCCCAATGTAAATGTTGTTTCTGTATATACAGTGCTACGTGGTATGGACCCCAATGTAAATGTTGTGGTTTCTGTATATACAGTGCTACGTGGTACGGACCCCACTGTAAATGTTGTGGTTTCTGTATATACAGTGCTACGTGGTATGGACCCCAATGTAAATGTTGTGGTTTCTGTATATTACGTGCTATGTGGTATGGACCCCAATGTAAATGTTGTGGTTTCTGTATATACAGTGCTACGTGGTATGGACCCCAATGTAAATGTTGTTGTTTCTGTATATACAGTGCTACGCGGTATGGACCCCAATGTAAATGTTGTGGTTTCTGTATATACAGTGCTACGTGGTATGGACCCCAATGTAAATGTTGTGGTTTCTGTATATACAGTGCTACGTGGTATGGACCCCAATGTAAATGTTGTGGTTTCTATATATACAGTGCTACGTGGTATGGACCCCAATGTAAATGTTGTGGTTTCTGTATATACAGTGCTACGTGGCATGGACCCCAATGTAAATGTTGTGGTTTCTGTATATACAGTGCTACGTGGCATGGACCCCAATGTAAATGTTGTGGTTTCTGTATATACAGTGCTACTTGGTGTGGACCCCAATGTAAATGTTGTGGTTTCTGTATATACAGTGCTACGTGGCATGGACCCCAATGTAAATGTTGTGGTTTCTGTATATACAGTGCTATGTGGTATGGACCCCAATGTAAATGTTGTGGTTTCTGTATATACAGTGCTACGTGGCATGGACCCCAATGTAAATGTTGTGGTTTCTGTATATACAGTGCTACGTGGCATGGACCCCAATGTAAATGTTGTGGTTTCTGTATATACAGTGCTACTTGGTATGGACCCCAATGTAAATGTTGTGGTTTCTGTATATACAGTGCTACGTGGCATGGACCCCAATGTAAATGTTGTGGTTTCTGTATATACAGTGCTACGTGGTATGGACCCCAATGTAAATGTTGTGGTTTCTGTATATACAGTGCTACTTGGTATGGACCCCAATGTAAATGTTGTGGTTTCTGTATATACAGTGCTACTTGGTGTGGACCCCAATGTAAATGTTGTGGTTTCTGTATATACAGTGCTATGTGGCATAGACCCCAATGTAAATGTTGTGGTTTCTGTATATACAGTGCTACTTGGTATGGACCCCAATGTAAATGTTGTGGTTTCTGTATATACAGTGCTACGCGGTATTGACCCCAATGTAAATGTTGTGGTTTCTGTATATACAGTGCTACGTGGTATGGACCCCAATGTAAATGTTGTGGTTTCTATATATACAGTGCTACGTGGTATGGACCCCAGAGTAAATGTTGTGGTTTCTGTATATACAGTGCTACGTGGCATGGACCCCAATGTAAATGTTGTGGTTTCTGTATATACAGTGCTACGTGGTATGGACCCCAATGTAAATGTTGTGGTTTCTGTATATACAGTGCTACGTGGCATGGACCCCAATGTAAATGTTGTGGTTTCTGTATATACAGTGCTACGTGGTATGGACCCCAATGTAAATGTTGTGTTGCTGGAGGACTTTGCTGCAGTTCTGGGTGTTGGAATCGCTGGGACCTGCATCAGTGTCTCAGCCTGGACTGGGTCTTCTTTCGCTGATGCTCTTGGCTCTGCATTGATTGGGACACTCTTGGGAGCAGTTGCCGCATTCATTGTGCACCAGAATGCAATACAGCTTGTTGGCAGGTGAGAGTCAAACATTATTTCCCATGCTGCTATTATCTTCAAACCGTTCACCTACTTGTGACGTGCAATTTTTCATTAATTGGAAGCCCCACCCTGGCTTTTGCCAGTGGCCGCAATATAGCCCGACCATAAATATGGTCTAATGGCTGAACACGGTTTCTGGGACCTCTCTACGGGTGATCCTCGCCCGCATGGTGGCACTTTGTGTCATCAGGTGTTTATCTCTTGTGTGATGTCCTAGTGGGGTAAAAATCTACTACAACTACTCCCGTGCTGCAAATCTTGTCATCCCCATGTGAGATGCAATTTTTAGCTACTTTAAAATACCACCCTGGCTTTTTGCATTAGTTAGGAGTGAAAGGATAAATTCATTCATTTCATTAGAATTATATATATATATGTGTATGTGTGGGTGTGTGTGTATATGTATAGTGATTTTGGCGGTATGCAACAATATTGGCATTTTATTTTAAGGCATAATTTTTTCCAGTCCTTCTGTAATAAATACTTTGTGGTGAGTGCTGGCATTGTTTTCTCTCGTTCTCTCTCTATCTCTCTTTCTATGTAAATATGTGTACTAAAAACAATATCCAAATACATGTCAGTATTAGGTTACACACACGCACATGCACACACACACACACACACACACGCACGCACGCACGCACGCACACACACACACACACACACACACACACACACACACATATATATATATAAACACATGCACACACACACATATATAAACACACGCACGTGCGTGCACACACATTTACGTCTACTAATATTGTCTTGCATTTGGATACTGTTTTTAGTACCTAGTAATATTTGCCATTTTCTTTATGCTGCTTATCGCTTTTATAGCTGTCATTTGTTTCGACTACTTATACATCTACCACTGTTAATACCCTGTATCATGTTGGAATCCAGATCAATCCCTCAAGACGAGAGACAAGACATTAGCCAGCTGCTAGAGACTGACAGAATGATCAGGTGAGTTCAGATTGATTCAATACTGGGTTAGTTTCCGTGTGTTCTCTAGCTGTATTTGATTCAATACTGGGTTAGTTTCCGTGTGTTCTCTAGCTGTATTTGATTCATTACTGGGTTAGTTTCCGTGTGTTCTCTAGCTGTATTTGATTCATTACTGGGTTAGTTTCCGTGTGTTCTCTAGCTGTATTTGATTCATTGCTGGGTTAGTTTCCGTGTGTTCTCTAGCTGTATTTGATTCATTACTGGGTTAGTTTCCGTGTGTTCTCTAGCTGTATTTGATTCATTACTGGGTTAGTTTCCGTGTGTTCTCTAGCTAGCTGTATTTGATTCATTACTGGGTTAGTTTCCGTGTGTTCTCTAGCTGTATTTGATTCATTACTGGGTTAGTTTCCGTGTGTTCTCTAGCTGTATTTGATTCATTACTGGGTTAGTTTCCGTGTGTTCTCTAGCTGTATTTGATTCATTGCTGGGTTAGTTTCCGTGTGTTCTCTAGCTGTATTTGATTCATTACGGGGTTAGTTTCCGTGTGTTCTCTAGCTGTATTTGATTCATTACTGGGTTAGTTTCCGTGTGTTCTCTAGCTGTATTTGATTCATTACTGGGTTAGTTTCCGTGTGTTCTCTAGCTGTATTTGATTCATTACTGGGTTAGTTTCCGTGTGTTCTCTAGCTGTATTTGATTCATTACTGGGTTAGTTTCCGTGTGTTCTCTAGCTGTATTTGATTCATTACTGGGTTAGTTTCCATGTGTTCTCTAGCTGTATTTGATTCATTACGGGGTTAGTTTCCGTGTGTTCTCTAGCTGTATTTGATTCATTGCTGGGTTAGTTTCCGTGTGTTCTCTAGCTGTATTTGATTCATTACTGGGTTAGTTTCCGTGTGTTCTCTAGCTGTATTTGATTCATTACTGGGTTAGTTTCCGTGTGTTCTCTAGCTGTATTTGATTCATTACTGGGTTAGTTTCCGTGTGTTCTCTAGCTGTATTTGATTCATTACTGGGTTAGTTTCCGTGTGTTCTCTAGCTGTATTTGATTTATTACTGTAATGTGTCATTAATTGTTGCATTACTTTGACACAAACTGAAGAATTCTTCTTTTTTTTTTTTTTTTCTTATCTTCTTCTTCTACTTCATCTTTGTCTTCTTTTTCTGCTGCTTCTTTTTTTCATCTTCTTCTTCTTCTAGTCTGTTCACCATGAAATTGTGGGGGTGTGTTGTGACTTTCAGCTGGGCTGCTATTTTTACGCCTTCTGATCCAGAACATCCAACATCCAGTTTCAGCAAAACCTTTACTTAGTAGTCTTTTACAGCATGCTTGGTGGATTTTCCTCAAAAAATGGGGCCCTAGAATCCACACGGGAATGAAGAATGCTGTCGTCGTCATTATCAAGTGTCCTTCCAACTGACATATACTAACGTGTCTTTCCACTGCTTGGAATCTCCATCAGCATGTGCTAACACCTTCTGTGCCATGACAGAACACGATCAGGAACCTTCTCCTCCTCCTCCTCCTCTTTCTTCTTCGTCTTCCTCCTCCTCTGCTTCTTCTTCTTCTTTTTCTTTTTCTTCCTCTTTTTCTTCTTCTTTTTCTTACTCTTGTTCTTGTCATCTTGCTCTTCTTCTTCTCCACCTCTTCTACTTCTTCTTGTTCTTCTTCTTCTTTTTCTTCTTTCCTCTTCTTCTTCTTCTTCTTCTTCTTCTTCTTCTTCTTTTGCTTCCTCTGTCTCCTCCTTCTTTTTATCCTTCTGCTCTTCTTCTCCATCACCTTCTTCTCCTCCTCCTCTTTCTTCTCCCTCTTCATCTTCTTCTGCATCTCCTTCTTTTGTTTCTTCTTTTTCTTCTGCTTTTCCTTCTTATTATTATTGTTAATATTATTATTGTAAATATTATTATTATTCCTTCTTTTCTGCTTTTTCTTTTTCTTCTTCTTCTTCTGCGCTTGCCCTGACAAGGACCATTGGTCTGTTGTTTTGTGGTTTACACCCAGACCACAATATCAGCAAACTCCTAATTAATCACCATTTGTGACATACTTGTTGGGGACATTGCGTCTGCATTCATATAAATAGGGTCCCGATCACCCACATGGCATGTTAATAATTTTATTAATTTGGCTAAAAAATAATTATAGCCTTTTTCAGAGGCTTATGGTAAGTTGCCTTTGTCATTTTATCTTTCGAATGGTTACATTTTAACTTATTTGTGTCTTCTTTAGATCTCTCCATGATATTAAAGCCACTGAAATGGGAGGTGTGGTTCGCTTCAAAGCCGAGGTTGATTTTGATGGCAGAGAAATTACTAGAGCATATCTTTATAAACAGGATTTGGATCTCCTGTTACTTGTAAGTTTGCAAATGTGACAGTCTTATTTGTTTGTAAACAGAATCTAGATCTGTTACCTGTAGGTTTACAAATAATATTGTTATTTCTTTACTAGGTTTAATCAGTCTTCATTATAAGTTTTTTTACTCATCCTGTTATTATAAATAAGTTGAGTTGAGTTGATTAAAGAACCAACATTACAGCACCCGGGGCATTCACATAAGTGCTCTGTCCCCATCTTCAACAGCCAGTGAAGAGTTCCGATACTAATGGTGCCAGTAGCATTCTGATTAAAGGTCTGTCTTGCCTTTCCTCTGAGCCTCAAGCATCTGCCAGAACCCCTCGTCACTCCCCGCTGCATCAATCTCACCAGACTGTGGTGATCCATCTGCTCCTTCAAACTGTACACGCTCTCCCACAAGGCACTAACAACATCTGCCGTATCATACATTAGTATTTCACCAAGTTGTGCAGATCCAGCCAGTCTGTCCGCCTGTTCATTTCCCAGAGAAAAAATTATAAATAAGTCTCAGTACTTGAGCAGTATACAATAATTTTAGTCTCTTGTTGATCATAGGGGATGATAAACGACGCGGAGGGATCCATCACTCATGAAAATCCCACATACAACTGTCACTGCGAGAAGTCAAATCCAAGCCTATGACTCAGAGTGATTTCACCTGTGCCCTACTGATTTTGATTGCAAATGCAAGCCCGACAGGAAATTTGCAACAATAATATCAAAAATTGCAATTGGAGACTAGCACATTTGACCTAGAAATGGCAGCCAGAATGACATATACAAATATCATATCACTACTGTTTGTCGTTTGGGAGAAAGGTTCTTTATTAATTTCTTACCCGAGATGATGTCACAGGTCAGTCCAACATTTTAGAGAGTGGTAAGACAGGGTTTTCCTGCTTTCTGATGCTTTTAACAACCTTAAAATATCTAGAACTGGCCCTAACCCCAACCCACCTACGTCGTAGGAGAGACTGCAGCCTAGGTCCCATGACTGCATGCAGCCTAGGTCCCATGACTGCATGCAGCCTAGGTCCGACGACTGCATGCAAACTATCTACCACTTCCTGAAATATTAGACTGTCCTGTGACCTGTGGATTTCCCCTACTTGGGATAAAGCACCGGGAGAAGCTCTTGTGACAGGCAGGCAGACACATAAAATTGTTGTTTTATAGTGTAGATAAGTAGGATCTAGATCTGTAACTTGTAAGTTTATAAATGTAATGTTGTTATTTCTTTATATTTTATCACGCTGGAATGATAATGCAACGTAATGTGTGGTTCCCTTGTATTTTCTTTCTAGGAGGCTCAAAATTTGAAAACTGTAGAGGAGTTGGAACAGTTTATGCTGAACCATGGGGAAAAAATTATTGATGCTCTTGGGGCAGAGGTGGATAGAATTGAGAAGTTACTCAAGGTAATGTTGTTTTTTATTCTGAATGTAAGCATCTTTCTCTTCTTCTTTTCTCTACTCCTGGAATACCTTTCAGCGTCAAAGCAGGAAAAGATCTTTTGAAAGGAATTTAAGCATCTTTTTCTTCTTTCTTCTTTTCTCTATTCATGGAATGCCTCGCAGCGTCAAGACAGGAAGAGATCTCTGGAATGGAATTGAAGCATCATATTTGTTAATACATTCATCTTCTGTTGTGATATCATTACGGTCTTAGAAGAATGGCACTGCGAGGAGTTACAAGGGGATCTGGCTGACGCTCGACACTCAGTGGAAAGACGAGACGGCTATACAATCAAACAGTTACTGGTAACATCGGAATTTTAACTCGCATGCTGTTAATTATGGGGACGGAGCGCTTATGGGGGTGTCCTGAGTGCTGTGATGTCGATTCCTAATTCAACATTCAACATTCTTCTATTGTGGTCTCTTTGGGTTCAGTTCTGTTCACAAACAAAGCAACAACTAAAACACGTAAAGGTAAAGGACTCTTTTCATACCTTTGATGCATATATTTCTAGACCTATATTTTATAATAAAATCAGCATTGGATGGGTGATGTGATCGTGATCAGCATCACGCCAGCCACTTTTGCTTCCCAGGAAATTACCTTGTACACATTTTAGACTAGGTCGACCGGGGAGCCAAGGTCAGTTTGAAAACAGTTTGCCTCGGAGCAGATTTGAACCCTAGACCTTCAGGCCAGCCAGGTAAGCACCTAGCTGCTATGCTACTGCCACTGCCAGTTCTGTTTCAGCCAGGTCTACAGTTTTGATGTAGTAGCTAATGTAGCACTAGGGAATTTGTGGAGATCAACAGAAATTAAAACTAATACTAAACTAAAAATTGTTAATTTGAATGTCAAATCAGTACTTTTGTCTGGGGCGGAAACATGGAGAACAACTAAGGCAGTTACTAATAAACTACAAACATTTATTAACTGATGGATGCGCAGAATAGAGGGAATTAAATGGCATGATAGAATCACTCATGTAGAGCTTTGGGAGAGAACTGAACAAGTTGCAGTGGACCAAGAGGTGAAGAAAAGATGCTGGCATTAAATAGAAAAGATATAAAACTGAACGAAAAAGTATATTAGCAAGCTTCGCAATATAACAAATACAAACAAAACGTTACCGTTGCAGCTATTGAGCCTTCATCAGCACATACAAATCAAGCAATACTACACAAATACACAAAATCTTTTAGCTGGTATCTCAATGCAGCCGGGTCGGTTGTTGTTGGCATTAAATAGGACAAACTTTGAGAAAACCTGAGAGCAATACAACTAGAATGTCTTTGCACTGAAACCCACAGGGGCATAAAAATAAAGGAAGACCAAAAAACACATGGAGAAGGGAGCTAGAGAGTGAAGTCATAAAGATGGGGAGGACATGGAGAGAGCTGCCTGCGATAGCAAAGAATAGAATATCTTGCATGAGTTGGTTCAGGGCCTATGCTCCATTGGGGGTTAGAAAAGGCAGAATAAGCTAAAGTAGTTACATGCAAGCACATGAATACAAACACTAAAAAAAAAAAACTGTTCAACACAATATTCTTACTAATGTTGTGCTGTCAGTGTCAAACATGGACACTGTCTTCAGAAAACAAGAAAAATAGTCTACGACGGAAATTAAACAGTTTGCCTATCATGTTGGGTAAAAAAAAATAGTTGAAAGCTTTTAAAACTGAAACTAAAGTGTTAATATTACATACCTGGAGGCAACAGAGAGAGATGTAACATTTGAGAAGACTGTTTGTTGCCAATATTTAAGCTGAATTTTGTTTTTTGATGTTTTTTTTTTTTTAGCCCCGTATTTTTTAATAATTAACAAAAGTCGTGATTGTTTTCTTCTCTCTAGGCCAAGCACCCAGAGATTCGACATGTTGATCTTGAAGCATTATAAACTTTTAGTTGAACAATTGTAAACTATCCCTGAAGTAATTTAAACCTTCATTGATGGGTCATCACTTTTCACTAAAGATTTAAATATTCATTGAATTTTATAAACCTATAATGGACCCTATTAATTTTGCATCGTAAGCTTTTGCTGAAAAAATGTAAGTTCTGTGAAAGGAAACAAAAATTTGTTTGACAGGTCATAACTTTTCACAAAGTATTTTAAGCCTTTACTGAATTTTATAAAACCATTATAGAGCTCTTGAAGCATAAATTATACAGTATCCATAATGTGAATCTTTATTGATAAATTTATAACTTTCCACTTAGGATTTGTTGTCTTTACCAAATTATATAAATTTTTAGGGAAGCATTCAGTGAAGCATTACAGTTCTTTTGCCTAAAAGATGATAGACTGTCCCATAAAGTAAGTAAACCTTTATCTGCAAATCATAACTTTCCACTAGTGATTTTAATCATCACTGAAGTGTTAAAACTATTATGGGGCACTTTCTGTGAAACATCAACTGTCATTAGGAATTATAAACGATTATGAAGCCTTTATTCATTATTGATTATGGGTGTAATAGAAAAGTTAGTCCCCCCATGGACTGCCCGTATACACACTAGCTCACTTCTGATTGGTCGACCTTGAGCCTAGCTCACTTCTGATTGGTCGACCTTTAGCATAGCTCGCTTATGATTGGCCGACCTTGAACCATCCGATATTGGCACAAGATGATGGGGGTGTTCCCCAGTGCCGTTGATATTGCGTCTCCAAATTTCAGCATTCCAGCACCTTTAACGCTACAAAAACATTGATAAACTGGATCTAACACACAACCCCTTTAGAGAGTGATGAAATCTATGTCGCAGGCATTCTCTTTCTCGGAACAAAAATTTAAAAGCAAGACATCCTAGAAAGCAAACAACAGAGTGGCACACCCATAACATCCAGCAGGTTAGACCAGTCCAAGAAAGCTATTGATGGAACGTGACGTACTTTCTGTGGGGAGACTAACATCTGTTTGACCGCGTTATGAATCTTCAGTGCATTAATTTAACTGAGTCTGAAAGAAGACATGCTGCATGAATGAAAGAATGGCAGTGTTTAATTCCATATGTACAATTGTACACATTGGTTCTTTTTAATATCGTACCCCAGATAACATCACAGGACAGTCCAAAATTTTATAGGGTAGTAACACTGGGTTTTCCCCGCTTTCTGCTGCTTTTAACGACCCTAAAACTTCTAGTACTGGCCCTAACCCCAAACAACCTCTGTTTCACGAGAAAGTGCAGACTAGGTCCCATGACTGCATGCAGCCTATCTACCACCCCCTGAAATATTAGATTGTCCCATGACCTGTGGATTTCCGCATTTTGGGGAAGGATATTAATAAAGAACCTACACATTTTTTAAAGTCATTTAGTGGTTATATGTCAATTTTTGAATCCCTCATTATGTATTGATGTGATGGAAATACTGTATATTATTTGTAGCTGTTTTCTTTCTGTTATTATTGTTGTATGGTGATTTTCTTTTGTATGATTTGTCAAATACTGTATATCTGTGCCAATTTATTCACATAATTGTTATTGATGAGATCATAATTTTTTTTAGTTAATTGATATCATTTTTTTAAACCACTGGAAAAAAACAGTGTTGGAAAAAGAGGGAGGGGGGGGGGGGGGGGTTGGTGGCGCTTTAGTCTGAGGGTTCAGGGCCTCCTGATTATGCAGTTGCCACAGACTGCAGGTTAGGGCATTGTTTTTGCTGCCATCTTCTTCTCTAGTCCCATTCTACCATTCAGCATCAGGTATTGAAGAGGTATCGGGTATGCGACTTGATATATGTTAGTAAATGCTGGTATAAACGACCTCGGATATTCCATCGTTTGCATGGTCAACCCTTAGCTTTGCTTCCATTATGTCTAAGTGACAGAGCTCTCTGTGATGCACTACCTGCTTTGAACAGGCAAACATTGATCACTTTGAACTTTTCTGAATGAGAGCATTCTTAACCATTTGACAGCCCGGCTCGCTAGCGTAGCTGGCTAAAACCGGATTGCGAGGTGACTGGATGACGAACTCCTTGTGGTCCGGGTTCACTCCTGGGGTAGGCAGAAAAGCCACATTTCTACCAGATTTACGGTATTTATCATAGAATCAAGGCCATAATACCGAGCCTGAGGGTTAACAACTCATGGCTTCTGGATACTAAAAAAAAAAAAAAAATTACCATTTGACAAGCAGCTCCTGTCATTGTTAGTGTTTTATGCTTTGTACATTATTTTCTGATATATTTTTGTCAGAATTTGTTACCAAACAGTAATATCGCAGAAGTCAAGACATGCCTCTATTTTTCTTCGTAAAGACTTCAAGAATCTTCTTCTTTAGTAGCATTACAGGCCCTCGAAGTTCATAGCTGAGATATCACTACTTGCCTCTTTCATCTCTGTGATTGTACTTCTCTTGGTGACTGCAGGTGTTTGTGATTGGCCTTTTCTTGGTGACTTTAGATATTTGTACGTCTGCCTCTAAATTTCTATCCACAATCTTTTTGGTCTTCCCTTGTGGTCTACTCCAGTTCAACCAAACAGGCACTAAAATGGGAAACAAAGGTATTGAATAAGCAAGGCAATCCTAAAGAAACCCAAACAATAATGCTAGTGAGAGAGGCCAAAGGTGTTGTACTGAATTCCATTCATTAATGTCACAACAAAACATTGATGATGATAATGGTACTTAAAGATCCACTGGTCAGTAGTTTACAAATGTCTGGACTCCGTCTTGTTTCATTTTACTTCCTGGTAGTATCAAAATTTAATTCCAGAGAGCTTCAGTGGTTGCCATTTGTAGTCATTAAGTTGTGTTTCAATATGTATGAAATCTGCTCCCATGTATGCCTGGAAGACTTGGCTTGGCTTTTTACCCCACCAGGACATCACACAAGCGATAAACACCCGATGACACAAAGTGCCACCATGCGGATGAGGATCACCGTGGAGAGGTCCCAGAAACCGCGTTCAGACATTTGGCCATAATGATGACCTGCCTATATTGCGGCCCCTGGCAAAAGCCAGAGTGGGGCTTCAAATAACAAAAAATAACGTCCTAAGAAGGACGTAAGATGCCTGGAAGAGAAAGCCTTTGTCAAAATAACCTTATTAGTGTGACTGAAAAAGCAGTTACTGAGAAAGTAATAAGCAGTATTATAATTGATAAAATAATAAAAACCAGTACAAGGGAAGCAGTATTTGAGAAAGCAGTACAAGGGAAGCAGTCACTGAGAAAGCAGTACAAGGGAAGCAATAATTGAGAAACACAAGGGAAGCAATAATTGAGAAACACAAGGGAAGCAATAATTGAGAAAGCAGCACAAGGGAAGCAGTAATTGAGAAAGCAGTACAAGGGAAGCAATAACTGAGAAAGCAGTAACGGAGAAAGCAGTACTAGGGAAGCAATAATTGAGAAAGCAGTACTAGGGAAGCAATAATTGAGAAAGCAATAATTGAGAAAGCAGTACTAGGGAAGCAATAATTGAGAACGCAGTACAAGGGAAGCAGTAACTGAGAAAGCATATAAGAAAAGCAGTAACAGATAAATGCTTAAGTGAGAGAATCACAACTAAGAAAGCAGAAACAGAAAATTGAGTAACTGAAAAAGCAAACAGTACAAAATGAAAAAGAAGCTTGGTTTCTCACACTAGTGTCATGTTGTAAGGTTTGCGTATGTCTGTGATTTTTTTTTTTTTCATGTAGTTTTTCATTCAACTGACTCAGCTCAGAATATTAGTTTAATTTTCATATTACAGAATTAACCTTGCTGCCAGGTTGACCCAGCCTGAAATGGGTACCAGCAGATAATGGACTTATAGGAAAAGATCACCAGCAGTATGATGACCACGGAAGGCTGATTGGTCTTTAGAGTCTAGTATCATTAGCCTGGCTGTAAGGTATACCACTGGCTGTAAGATATACCACTGGCTGTAATGTATACCACTGGCTGTAAGGTATACCACTGGCTGAATAACTGGGTAAGATATACCACTGGATGTACCAGCTGTAATGTATACCACTGGCTGTAAGGTATACCACTGGCTGTAAGGTATACCACTGGCTGTAAGGTATACCACTGGCTGTAAGGAATACCACTGGCTGTAAGGTATACCACTGGCTGTAAGGTGTACCACTGGCTGTAAGGTATACCACTGGCTGTAAGGAATACCACTGGCTGTAAGGTATACCACTGGCTGAAAAGTATACCACTGGCTGTGAGGTATACCACTGGCTGTGAGGGAGGTATACTACTGGCTGTGAGGAATACCACTGGCTGTAAGGTATACCCTTGGCTGTAAGGTATACCACTGGCTGTAAGATATACCACTGGCTGTAAAGTATACCACTGGCTGTAAGGAATACCACTGGCTGTAAGGTATACCACTGGCTGTAAAGTATACCACTGGCTGTAAAGTATACCCTTGGCTGTAAAGTATACCCTTGGCTGTAAGATATACCACTGGCTGTAAGATATACCACTGGCTGTAAAGTATACCACTGGCTGTAAGGTATACCACTGGCTGTAAAGTATACCACTGGCTGTAAGATATACCACTGGCTGTAAGGTATACCACTGGCTGTAAGGTATACCACTGGCGGTAAAGTATACCACTGGCTGTAAGGTATACCACTGGCTGTAAGGTATACCACTGGCTGTAAGGTATACCACTGGCTGTAAAGTATACCACTGGCTGTAAGATATACCACTGGCGGTAAAGTATACCACTGGCGGTAAGGTATACCACTGGCTGTAAGATATACCACTGGCGGTAAAGTATACCACTGGATGTAAGGTATACCACTGGCTGTAAAATTCCCTCAATCATGAACAAGTCTACAGAGGACATGTTGAATCGGTTGAGAGTCTCTGCTCTTTACAGCGACAAAATTAAAAAGAGAAAGTTTATTGATACTTACTGTAGAATTATTATTGATGTTGTTCTTC